TCCAGGATGCCGCCAAACTCTTGGTTGTCGTGATAACTTCCCAATTTCCACACTCGTCTCATCAGAAAAATTATATTTCCCCAATCATAAATGGTTTTACCTTCATTTTATTCACACCAGCTAACACGAATATGCGCATGTATATCTGAGATATACGGTTTCTTTGCTGCGATATGGGAATGAAGTTCATCATCGTACAATACATTTGCGGCAGTCGATACACTACAGTTAAGACCTAAATAGTTAGCAATTTCGCGGAGTGGTAAATGTCGTTTTTCGTTAACTTTACATAGGAGTAGTTCTTTTTGGTGGTTATTAAGGAGAGGTGGTCTTCCAGAACGTAGTAAGTTTTCACTTTTTCCTGTTTTTTTTTATACTTCTTAATGAAGCGCCGTATTGTTGTGAGGTCATGTCCAAGCATTTTTGCGATTTGGGCGGCATTTATATTTCCATATATGCCAGAATCTTCCCTTTTTCAATTTTGTTTAATAGAAACACAAAATCCTCGTAACAGTATTTCAAATTTCCGATGATACTAATTTTCAAACTGAAACTGAAAGTTTAATGAAATATTTTTGTTATTATCTGTTTTTTTGGGATAGATCTTGTTGGTTAGTTTCTAACCCTTCTAATCCAAGGAAAATCTCTTTTTTTTCTTTTTCTTCTCCCCTTTTTCTAATTATCTCTTCTTTAAACTTATCTGATACAATAACTCCAGTTTTCGTAGCAAAGTAATTATTCCTACGTATAGAAAAATTTGATCATCATACATCATCAATTTTAGACACTAATGAACACAACCACTAAAGATAAAATGTCTAGCTCCGTCGTTAGTACTAATTACGAATATTTAACTGATAACGAAATACTGATTTTACAACGATCCCCTTACCAATTAACTCTTTCTATTGAAGAATTAACTAAAGCAGCTGTAAAAAAACGTGGCAATTCTGATATACCACCGCGACCACAAAACAGCTGGATAATTTTTCGAAGAGATTATGAAGCATATTTACGTTTATGTAATCAACATGTCAAACAAAATGTCAAAGAAACAGCTAAAGAATGCAGTTTAAAGTGGCAAAATCTATCAAGTGAGGCGAAACATTTCTTCAAAATATTGGAAAAAATAGCTTTTGAGAATTACAAACGCATATATCCTAATTATAAGTTTAAGCCAATAAACGCGAAATGTTCGGACGTTAAGAAATGGATTTTTCGGGAACAAACGCTATCGTTAAGAAATAATATTATGAATGACACAACCTCAACAACCAGTGATGGTATTCATCCATTTACGATCAATACCAATCCTGATGCTGCTATTAATACGAATATTTGTAAAGCTTTTTTCAACGAATCTTTTACTATCAATAATCATAATAATGTCTCAAGGTAATAACTTTTTATATAAAATCATCATTATCATATATAAAACACAGCACATAATCACTAAATCATTTTTAAATCATTTTTATAAAGTGAACACAGAAAGATAGAATCTAATACTCACGATTGTAGTAATTGCTACTTTTGTCGAAAGAATTGGATCTGCAGAGAATGTTCAAATCACAATACGTACTCATGACTGCAGTAAATGCGCTCGTTGTCAAAAAAATAATCGCTGTTATGAATGTTTTAATTATCACTATCAACTTTACAAAGCTGGATGGTCTAGCAAGGATTGCTCGGTAATTAAACCACCACTTGGAAGTTCTTTTGAATGGATCCCTTTTGAAAGATTTACCAGTGTTGAATATCTTGCAAAAGGAGGATTTGGAGCAATTTATAAAGCATGGTTACACGATTACGACAAGTGGGATCATGGAGAAAACAAATTTGAACGATCTAAAGAACACAAAGAAGTTGTGTTGAAATCATTACATGATTCAAAGCAAATTACATTAGCGTTTATAAACGAAGTAAGAATGAACAATTCCTAGTAATAAAATTTTTTTCGTTTTCTAATCTAAATAACTTTTCAAAAATAGATCCAGACCGCTCTAAAGTCCAGCACTATTAAATATTATGGAATAACTAAAAACTCTACAGATGAATACTCGATAGTGATGGCTTATGCAAAAGATGGTGATCTTCGCAGAGATATTAATTACAAAACATTGACTTGGAAAGAAAAATTAGCACATCTGTGTTCTATTATCGATGATCTGAAAAGAATTCACGAAGAGGGATTTATACATCGTGACTTTCATCCTGGAAATATATTAATATCGAATAATTTTGCCCAAATTACTGATTTAGGGCTTATCGGCCCAGCAAATATAGGAAAGTCTAATCGAGAAATTTATGGAGTTCTTCCTTATATTAGTCCCGAGGTGCTAAATGGAAAGTCATATACTAAAGCTACCGATATTTATAGTTTTGGGATGGTTACATACGAGATTATAACAGGCGAACGACCCTTTGGTGAACGAAATCATGATAGTAATCTCGTATTAGACATTTATAAAGGCGTACGACCTACGATACCAAATAATATTCCTGGATGGTGCAAATTCATTATTGAAAAATGTTGGGATCCTATTCCAAAAAACAGATCAACTGCTTCGGAACTTTACGACTTTATCAACTCTATCTACATGGACTATTCAAGAGACAACAAACTGTTTACTTTGGATATTCAGAATACTTTGCATTTGCAACACTACAGCACTTTACTAGAAGTGCAGAAACTAAGAGAACTTGATGAGGAGATGAGATTGCGAAATAGCATTCTTACGAATATGGACAAAAAACAAAAAATCCACCCAAATGCCATTTACACCAGTCGAATCTTTACTACAAAATTAATTTCAATTTCAAATGATACAGGTACTTCTGTTTCGCACTATCAATATAACATATTGATATTTCATATTAATTAAAAATCTTTAGGTTCTACAAGTATCAGTTTGTATGTTCCAAATGAAGTAAATGAAGGTAATATTATTTCTTTAGTTCGTTATATTAAAAATACTTGTTTGCATACAACGTTAGAATATACGACTGAATTTGATATCGATATAGATATTGATACCGAATCTACAAACGTCAGTTTATATGCTCCAAATGATTTTAATGAAGGTGAAATCACCATTTAATATTTTTTTTCAAAAAATACTATTCAGTAAATTAATCAAATACTTGTTTGTATACAACTCTAGCATATGTGACTACTGAATTTGATATCGATATTGATGCCAAATCTACATGTGTCAGTTCTTATGTTCCAAATGAAGCAAACGAAGGTAAGGTTATTTTCTACAAAACTATTGCCACCAACATTATCAACATTAATAAATCAAATTTTTAGAACTTCGAGCGATATTTGACACTCTTGATGATGATAGAAGAGTGAAAAGATCGATATTTGACACTCTTGATGCTAGGAGAGTGAAAAGATCGATATTTGACACTCTTGATGATGATAGAAGAATGAAAATATCGAAAGTATCGGATACACATCATGCTCTCGATGATGATAGAAGAATGAAAGTATCAGATGCACATGAAAAACAGATTGATCATGCAATGAGTAAATATAAAAAATGGCTGGACGAAAGTTTAGAACTCAACCTCATCAAAAATATTAAATATGAAGAAATTGAAAACGAACAAAAGCTTTCAGAAGGCAGTTTTGGAATTGTAACTACTGCCTATTGGAAAGATCTACGTGAAATGGTTGCTTGCAAAAGACTAAAATTGGAACATACCGATACACAAGAAAATGAAGATAAATTTTGGAAATCCTTTGTTAATGAGGTAAATAACGCACGCATTGATATTTCTAAGCTAATATTTATTATTAAGATAATTATATTTATAAATTTTAATGCTTCATTCAGCTTAAAATAAATAAAAAAATGTATTATTGCCAATATGTGATCCGTTTTCTTGCCATTAGTCAAGGTATTTTTATTGGATTAGTAAAAATTAATTCATTGTCTTAAGTGATACTCATTTTAATAATAAAAAAAGACCCTAGAACTTCGGAATACATGATAATTCAAGAATATGCTGACGGCGGTAATTTGCAACAGTACCTGAGGCTAAACCGTCAAACATTAACAGACTTCAATTGGCTTGTCAAGTAGCTAATGGAATGCATATGCTTCATAAAGAAGGGATTGTACATAGTAAGCTGACTTAATTAAATGCAACTTGTAATTTAGTAAAAAATTACTAAATTTATCTTTTTTAAAACAGCATTCGAAAAATATCTTAGTGCAAAAAGGGGTTGCAAAATTAACCGATTTTGGAATGTCGCGAATTGTTGCCAATACCAATTCTTCGACAAGCAACGGCGTATTTGGCATTATACCTTATATTGCGCCAGAATGTCTTCGATATTGTGACTATCCGCTTGATACGAGTTCGGATATCTATTCATTCGGTGTTATTTTATGGGAGATTGCGAATCCGCATGGAAAATATGCCTTTGAAGGAAGGCAATTTGATGGTGCGTTTATGTTGTCGATAATAGATGGGCTAAGAGAAACACCAAATTCAGAAACAGAAAGTGATTACGTGAAGCTTTACCAGGAATGTTGGGATCCGAAGCCTGAAAATCGTCCTTTAATGTCATCCGCATTACAAAGAATCGAAAGAATACAATCAATGTAGGATATTCAGGCATCATTATCCTATGCTACGCCGAAATCATATAAAACAATGATTAGCGTTAGACCGAATATGTTATCATTCTATATGTATACGTATTATTATATATAGAATAAATATTTATAGAATTTAGGCAAATAAATAATTGATAAATTTTAATTACATGTATTGGATTGAAAGAATGTACTGTATCGTACAGCGCTGAATAAAATATTCTTATTCATCATTGGTAACTTTTATCGTTATGGTCTTTCAGACTAAGATATTTCAATGAGTTGTGACATTGCAATAACCAATCAAATAACTGTGAACTAGCGCTAGCGCTAGGTTGCAACCTATTGAGATTCCATTTTTAGAACAGACCGACACAACCTTTCTGGAAGTTCATATGGGCATTTTTTCAGTTTATTATTTATAATCTATGGGTGATTAAAATGCGACAAAGGAGAAAAAACAAAGACAATCAAAATAAAATTTGAGTTATTTTTGCTTTTGTTATCAATTGATCTAGATTTTTATTATAATATTCTACTAATATTATCCATCTTGCGGAGCAAGAGCACTTTTACATCAGACTGCTTGTCCAAAATTCGAATGCGATTTTTGATTGTTCACAAACTGCAGACTTTTTTGCTATTGGTCATAATTATTTGATTAAAGAAAATCATGTATTAATAACTCACATTTTTACTTCTAACAGGTTCTCAATCTTTCGGTGGCACAGCATCTTAAAAAGTATAAAGCGAATGGTTGTTCCTTTTACTATTACCTTCACGTTAAAAATTAAAATTATATGCACACAAAATAAATCGTAATCATACATCAAACTCAAAAAATAAGGTATAATTTACTCTTATGGAAGCTGAATATGCATTAACTATTTTCATGTACATGTATCTATACTAATTGTAATTGCTATTTATAAATAATTAACGTTTTAGATCAATGATTTTTACGAAGTTTACTCCATACTTAATACATGTACGTACGTATTTGGGGATATAGTCGAACCTCTATATATTATAGTTATACCCTCTGAATATGAAAACCTGTGATTATAAGAAGGTTGTGATTATATGGAGGTTAATTTTCATATGATTTATAATGAGTTGGGAACTAAAAAATGTGACTATATAGAGTTTGTGACTATATAGGAGGTGACTATAGAGGGGTTAAACTGTACGCTAAAGCCGGGTACATCCGATAATCAGTCCGAGACACAAACTAATAAGGATGCGTAAATTTTTTATCAGCCCGTCAAAAAAAATCCGAAGCGCGAACAAAATATGAAAAATAACGGAAAAAAGATGCTTAAATCTATCTAGGTTAATAATAAAAATTTCGGGGAGACAATTTATATATAATTGATCTCAACTCTAGCCCTGCCCTAACCCTAAGTTTAAAATCGATCTTTAATTATCGTTATACGTATACAGTGGTCGTCATAAGTATCCAGAAGTTAGTTTTTTTAGGTACAACTTCACGAAAATTCATTTAAAACATATAAAATTCCATATGTATATAATATATATGGTATGGGAAACAAGTTTATCTAATATTACAAATACACATAAATTAATAAAATTTGCATAAATTTATGCTAAAAATTGTGAATTGGAACATTTAAAAATTAAGGAGGATAACAAGATTCTAAAAAAATACTTTCACTAATTAATTTTGTAAATATTTTAAGGAACATATTTTCATAGCTTAAAGAATATATCTATAATTTTTCAATTGAATTTACTTCATCATTATTTCATAATGACCAATTAAAAAAGGTATAATTTTGCTAAATTTCTTAATAAATCATAGTAAAAAT